GATAATGGTTGGTGCAATAAATTGGAAATTCAAGTGGCTGAAAAGTATTTAATATAATCCTCATCTAATATTTTTGTGGATAAGAAATTTAATTTCATATTAATTCGGTTTTTGTCAATTCTTCAAATCGCTATCTAAATTTCTCAAAGTCCTTTTTAAGATTCATTTAAATCGGACCACACATATTTCATTAAAACTGCAAAATAAATATCACTCCAACAACAGAATTTGCCTCAATTATTATTATTCCATATCATCATATTAATTTTTATTTAGAAATTTCACGAAAAAAGAAAATGTATCAATCTATTATTTCTATAATTATTGTAAGAATGATGTGAAATAATGAAGATTTTGAAAGTGGGTGTTATTATTGAGGAGTGATCAGATTTTGTAAAATATTTTTTTAAACTCTAGAGGTGTCAATCAAATTCATTCTTAATATCTTTAAAGGTTTAAAAATAATATATATATTTTTTAACGTTAATGAAACACGGCTTCCCCAAAAGACATCGTAACAATGGAGAGTGTATTCTTAAATTATAAACCCACGATCATTCTCTAAATTAACCAATGTGGGACACTTTCATCCAACACGAGTGTGTGTTCGTAACTCAAAAACGTCTTATTCCATTCCGTTTTTTAAAAAAATAGGGTTGACTTTTTTTAATATATTCCTTTTAATTTCGTAAGATTGTAATTTTATGATGGATTAATTAGGCTAAGTTGTAATAAGTTATATTTTATTACAACTGTGAATTGATATAACACAAAGCCAGAAATTGATTTATAAATTTATCACACGTACATCGAGATAATTATAAAATTAATTACGATATACAATAACTCAGTTATAAACCATGTCAAAAATTAATTTTACTCGATAAAATATCAATATCAAGTTTGTTTTAATTTCCCAACTATGCATATTCAAATTTATAGACAACATTTATTCAACTTTGATCGGGTGTGTTTTTAAAACAGATACTAATAATTTTGTTTATGTACTTAATTTTTTTAAAAAAAATAAATGTTGGATGATGAAAGTCCCACATCGACTAATTTAAGAAATGATCATGAATTTATAAGTGATAAATACTAACTTTGCCTGAGGCATTTTGGGAAGCCCAAAGCAAAACTATGACTACTTGTACTTAAAGTGGATAGTATTGTGAGAGTGTTTAGGAGACTATTTTGGTTTGTGATAGCTCATGAATGAAGCCCATTATGAGCCCAATTGGATTTCCAATATTGAAATGAACCCAACTTACACGTGGGCCATTGTACTGGACTTTCCGTATGATCTGGCCCAAATATGGTCCACATTTTTAGTTGCATTTTCAAAAGAACAAAATAAGAAATCAAATAGATTTTTTTTCTCTCTTTTTTTGGTAAGAAAACTTTAGGAGAAGGTTCATTCCAAGCATAAGGGTATCAGGTGAGTTCTACCCGAGCATACTCTCTCGGTTAAAATATGTCAAAAGATCCATAATTTGAACACGATAAAATATAATATCAAGTCTTATAAGGGGTAGAAGCCACATATATTGTCGTAATATATAAATACCTTCAACCAAAAAATAGGCCACGAGGTTTGATATTGAATTATCCATTTGGACGTCGGATTCTATACAGAGATATCTCGTATGATACTACACAACCTAATAACCATGATTTAGAACCTAAATGAATCTCGATAGGACAACCATTCAAACTCTAATTTTATTTTAACTTAGCCATACCTCAAAATTTTTTAACTAGAAAAACAAAGATGAATAGAAGATGAACTCGGAAGTGCGTATGCAACACTAGTGGAAAGAAGAGTAGAATGATATGTGAAAGTTTGATGAGAATTAGACTTTTGGGTAGAAATAGAGTTCTCCCACTACAAACCATTTGCTTCAACACATTTAAAATCAATGGTTTTGAGGTTAGATTTTGATGATAAAGTTGATGATGTAAGGTAAGATTATTATTGTTCTACCTCTTATCGTAAGAATTGATTGAAATATGATAGTGGAGTATGATATACATTGTTTATATTATTGATTCAACCCATATGCTTAAAATCTTAGTGCATCAATTATTTTTTATTGCCAAGATGCTTATCCACCTACCATATATATGTACTATTGTGTAGTGTTTATAAGTTAACTTTATTAAAAGTCTCGATAAAATTGGAATAATACAAAGAAGATTAGCATGCATGCGTAAGTTAAGAAGTTGTATACGGCTTGTGTTCAAGAATATGATAAATTTCGAAGATAAACCAAGGCGAGAACTAATAGTTATATGCTGGTTAGGTAAAGGGTATACGAATGAACCTATATCATATTCAAATAAGAGTGGTATATATAATAGTTATTATTTGTACCCATGATAGGAAACTTAATTACCAAATGTCAAATCAAAATTAAAAATATATATTTTAAAAGTGAGTGACTAATGTATAAAAAGTAAAATGATAAAATTGTAATGGAATAAACATTAAAATATATTAATAAATTAAAAGGTAGTGGAAGAAACCCACAACTCCAACATTGCAAATGGTTTTTGACCTTACCAAGACTCTTGGTTGGTTAAAGATATTTTAAAATTTTAAAAACATAAGTTTCTTTTTAAAAAAAAACTAAACGATAACAAAGTTGAAAAGTTAAATTATGTCGAAATTAGTAATGTTTGAAGGGGTTAAATTATTATAATAATTTTGAGGCTTTATCACATAGGCACACACAGACTAGTGGAGGAGTCGACTCAATCAATTCAGAAGTGAAGTAAGAGTAACCATAATTGTAGATCCATTGAATCTACGCATCTTAAAATGCCCTCTCCCTTCAAACCTTCCATGGCGAATTGGCCGAACCACCGTGAAGCTCTAATGGCAAACCCTCCAATCCATGCCAAACTCCAACTTACATTCACCAACAAATCCATTGTCAAAGCCACCAATCACTCGCCGGAACCACGTGTTTTGCATCTCTCAAACCTCGACCTCCTCTCCGGTCGTTTCCCGATAACGTATTTCTACTTCTACCGTCGCCCGACGGCCAACTCCTCCGCCGCCATGATCGACGCTCTCAAAACCTCCCTTGCTGAAACCCTAACTCATTACTATCCATTCGCCGGTACAATTCTCCAAAACCTAACAACGAACGAACCTGAAATTCTCTGCGATAACTCCGGTGCTCTGGTTGTTGAAGCAGAGGCCAATCTCCGATTGAACGCATTCAACTTTTACGATCTCGACGAACTTCTCCGAGGAAAACTCGTAACTGTAAATCCAGATTTCGCTCTGCAAATTCAAATCACGAGTTATGCTTGCGGCGGAATTTCGATTACGTTCACGTTTGATCATGCGCTTGGCGATGCAAGTGCATTTGGAAAATTCCTTCTCGCCTGGTCGGAAATCGCTAGGGGAAAACCGATTTCTACAATACCGGATCATCGGAGAAACATTCTTCCTCGTTCGCCGCCGATTTATCATCCAGATTTGGACGATACGATGGTGAAATGCACCATGGAAGAGATAAAGAACATTCCGACGTTGAAGAAGCTAATCAAGAGACTCTATTACGTCGATCGAACGAGTATCGATGAATTACAGAAACTCGCGAGTTCAAGCGGAGTTAAGAGGACTAAAATCGAAGCGTTCTCTGCATATGTTTGGAAAATTATGGTTTCCGCCATGGAAACAGAGCATTCGAGGTGCAAAATGGGATGGTTAATCGATGGGAGAAGCCGACTGGGGGGAGATTGGAACTACATGTCGGATTACATAGGTAACGTCTTGTCGGTTGCGTTTGGGGAGGCAAGTATTGAGGAACTAAAACGAAATTCCATATCGGAGATTGCTGAGGTGGTCCACTCGGCGATTTCGAAGGCGACGAACAAGGCCCATTTCTTGGACTTGATTGATTGGATCGAGTGTCACAGGCCTGGGCTGATGCTGTCGAGGATTGTGTTGGGCCTTGGTGGGCCGGGCCTTGTTGTATCTTCGGGCCGGATGTTTCCAGTTGCTGAATTGGACTTTGGATTTGGAAGCCCAGTGCTTGGGACTGTGGGCTCGACGATAGAGAGAATTGGAGTTAGTTATTTGAATCAGAGGCCCAGTGCTAAGGGGGATGGGTCGTGGACTGTGTCTGCCATTTTAGAGCCTGAATTGGCTGCTGCTTTGGAGTTGGATTCTGTGTTTCAGCCCATGACAGCAACTCTCCTTCAGCTTTAACTGCCTTCTATCCTACTTGAATCATCTTAATTTTAGAAAATGACTATGGGAATTGTTGGGAGTATGTTTTCGATCTTGATAAAGTCAAAATTAGAATGAGTAAGGTGGAATCCAACAGGAAAGTTAACTTATGTCTTTCAATTAAATGTTTGACGAGGAAAATCCTGAAGATCATAATACATTTAGAAATAAAAAAATTGTTACAAGGAATTTGAACGCAATGACAAACGAGCTGCAATCAAGCATGATCGAGATTCAAAGTAAGGTCGAAGGACACAAACAACAATACCCGTATGGACCAATGCATAATCTACACGCCCTGGGGACAAGGCCTAGTAAAATGTCCCATTTGCAAGACAAACCTTGGGTCCTTTAAATGAATATTGAGATATTGAAAAGAAAAACCGCCTTTCAACTTTGTTCTAATGAAATTTTAATTTGATAGTGATTAAGAATGAGTGAAACTAATTTAATTATTTGAAATTAAATAAAATCAGTATAAACGGAATGAAATTAGATAATAACCAAAACTCATGTAAAAATGAAAAATCTTAAAAATTTATGGACCAAATTAAAAAAATAATTTAAAAAAATAGACTAAACCAAAACTAGAAATTAAAACGTTAATGCAAAACAATATTCCATAGAGATTGTTAAGATACAAAAGCCCAACAATAGGGTCCGAAATATGGGCCAAAGCCCAAATAAGGTAAGTCCAACCCAACATAAGCACATCTCGCACTTGAAAAACGTCGACCAAAAACAGCCTCTCAATTTGTTCTCTCGTGGCCCAACTCCAGGCCTCCACGTTCTTCCCCCGCCCGCCCTCTCCTCCTTCTCCGCCTCCGATCTCACAGCTTTTTCCTCTCCCACACCCTAGCGCAACCTCCATCCTCATCAATCCAATTCAACATTCTTCTTCTTCCTCCTCTTCTTCCATTAGAGATTTTCAATCAATCTTCGTTAACTTCTAATCTCTAACCTTCGTTCTTCAAGTTCTTCAATGCATTTGACAAGATTCAAAATCAATAAGACACTTCCTGTAGTATTTCCCTTTTCGCGTCAGGTGGCCTGTGTGTTATCCACCGAACCGCATAAAGAACATCACCAGGACCCGCCATGGCAGCTCCAGGATCAGTTGCTCTATTCGGTATCTTCTATTCTCTCTAATTCGTCTCTCGACTCTTCTAAATGTAGAGCCCTCTTGCCCCATTTGTCTCCTTTTCAGTTTGATCAGCTCTTCTTCTCCGTTGGATTGAAAGCCAATCCCAAAACTTGTCTTAATTTCTTTTACTTTGCGTCTGATTCTTTCAAGTTTCGATTTACCATTCGCTCCTATTGTTTATTGATTCTTTTGCTTGTTCATTCCAAGTTTTTACCACCCGCGAGATTGCTTCTGATTCGTTTGATAGACGGGAAGCTCCCGGTGTTGAATTCGGATTCAAACAAGCTTCACATTGAGATAGCTAATGAATTATTTGGTTTAACTTCAGTTGTTGGGCGGTTTGAATGCACACATGCATTTGATTTGTTGATACATGTATACAGCACACAATTCAGAAATCTTTGCTTTAGTTACGCTGTTGATGTGTTTTATTTGTTTGCTCGCAAGGGAATCTTTCCGTCCTTAAAGACTTGTAACTTTTTATTGAGCTCTTTGGTGAAGGCTAATGAACTTGAGAAATGCTGTGAAGTATTTGAAGTGATGTCCCAAGGTGTTCGTCCGGATGTTTTCCTGTTCACGAATGTAATAAATGCTTTGTGTAAAGGAGGGAAGATGGAAAATGCCATGGAGTTATTAATGAATATGGAGAAGTTGGGTATTTCTCCAAATGTAGTTACTTATAATAGTGTCATTCATGGTTTATGCCAGAATGGGAGATTAGGCGATGCCTTTGAGCTCAAGGAGAAGATGACAATAGAAGGGGTAAAGCCAAGTCTTATAACTTATAGTGTGCTTATTAATGGTTTGACGAAACTGGAAAAATTTGACAAAGCGAATGATGTTTTAAATGAAATGGTTGATGCGGGTTTTGTTCCGAATGCAGTTGTCTACAATACTTTAATTGATGGATACTGCAAAATGGGCAAGATCAATGAAGCACTTAAGATTAGAGATGTGATGGTATCCAAAAATATAACTCCTACTTCAGTTACTTTTTATACTCTCTTGCAAGGATTTTGCAAGAGTAATCAAATCGAGCAAGCACAGAATACTCTTGAGGAGATATTATCACAAGGATTTCCTATAAACCCTGTTACCTGTTATTCGGTTATCCACTGGTTATGTACGAAATTTAGGTTCCATTATGCATTGCGATTTACCACGGTGATGTTATTGAAGAACTTCAGACCTAGTGATCAGCTGTTAACCATATTGGTATGTGGGCTCTGTAAGGACGGTAAACATCTAGAAGCAACTGAGCTTTGGTTTAGGTTATTGGAGAAAGGGTCTCCAGCAAGTACCGCAACCTCCAATGCTCTAATTCATGGACTTTGTGGGGCTGGTAAAATGGCAGAGGCTGTTAGAATACTCAAGGAGATGTTGGAGAGGGGTTTTTCATTGGATCGGATCACGTACAACACACTCATCTTAGGTTGTTGCAAAGAGGGAAAAGTAGAGGAATGCTTTAGACTTAAAGAAGAGATGACTAACCAAGGAATTCAACCAGACATCTATACTTGCAATTTTCTATTGTATGGACTGTGCAATGCTGGAAAATTAGATGATGCTATTAAGCTTTGGGATGAATTCAAAGCCAGTGGGTTAATTTCTAATGTACACACTTATGGGGTTATGATGGATGCTTATTGTAAAGCTAACAGAATGGAAGATGTTGAAAAATTATTCAATGAGTTGGTCACTAAGAAAATGGAGCTAAATTCCATTGTCTACAACATATTTATCAGAGCACATTGTCGTAATGGAAACGTTGCTGCAGCTTTGCAACTTCGTGATGATATGAAAAGCAAGGGAATTTTTCCAACTTGTGCCACATATTCTTCTCTAATACACGGCATGTGCAACATTGGGCGTGTTGAAGATGCAAAACATCTTATTGATGAAATGAGAGAGGAGGGATTGTTGCCAAATGTTGTTTGCTATACTGCATTAATTGGCGGTTATTGTAAGCTGGGGCAAATGGATATTGCCGAAGCAACTTGGCTCGAGATGACCTCTTTGAACATAAGTCCTAATAAAATTACCTATACTGTCATGATTGACGGGTATTGTAAATTAGGGAATATGGAAGAAGCAAATAACCTTTTGAGCAAAATGAAAGAAAGTGGAATCGTCCCAGATGTCGTTACTTACAATGCCTTGACTAATGGGTTCTGCAAGGGAAAGGACATGGATAAAGCTTTTAAAACATGCGATGAAATGGCCACCGGAGGATTGTCTTTAGATGAAATTACTTACACTACTCTCGTGCACGGTTGGAATCAACCAACAATTACGAGCCAAGACTGATCTAATTTCTGCAGAGGTTCTTCGTTACCTCATTATCTGTTGATAATGTGATTACTGTTTCGTGTTCAACTGATCTGAAAATTATTCTTTTGTTTTATCTTTGTTTTTTATTTATTAGTGACTGGATACGTCAGTATTGTTTAGCTTATGCATTCCGATATATTGGAGGCTATCCACCTTCTCTTGTTCAAATGAAAGAGCCAAAGACGAACATCCGTCTTTAGTCTCTGGAGGCTGGTAGGCTTTATTTTATAGTGTATTCCATTTCCACTCAGTATATATATCATTAGTTTATATGTCGTATTGCTACAGGTAAAGCATATGTTCTGAAAACTTGGTATTATTAAACAGATCAGGGAAGTGCTTAGCTCGTAATGTGTTGAGAACATAAAGTGCTCTATCAAGATCCCCAGCAAAAAAAGATAGCAATCAATGTGATAATGATAGAGTGACATTGGTTCTTCGACTCGAACCCAAATGAAACTTGGCAAATGTATTAGATCTGGTATGTCATTTTTATTGCAATGTTTCTTGCATGGAAAGCTGGTACAGTTAGATTTTTCATGACTTGTAATGAGCATGTATAGTGTTGATGCAGATTTTGCAGGCTTGAATCTGTATCTCAGGAAACAATGTCGTCATATGTGGGAGGTTTTCATCGGCACATTGGAATCGGCCATAGAAATTGCTCAGTTTCATGCATATGTAAGTTCATCTACTCCATCTTGCTATCAATCATATACTCACAGAAATGACAATGATATGCTCTTTTGTTATTGTTTTTCTTCTATAATTGAAAATGCTGTAAGCACCGTATGTGATTTTCTTTTATAACCGGGGTGTTTGCATCAGTGACCACCTATAAGCATTTTGAGCTTTAGGCCTGCTCAGTCTACGAACTGCACATTTGCGTTGCTTTTTTTTTTAAAAAAAATTATTATTTTAGGAACAGCACATTTTATTTTAAATGCTGAAAAGTGAATATAATTCTTTTTATAGAAAAAAATTCTGGCTTGAAGGAAACATATATAATTGACAACCATATGTGAACAGACTTGGCTGTTGGTATTTATTTATATTTTTTTGAGCTGAACAATATGTTGAGGCGGGGATATGAATCTCTGAAGTTTGGATCGTGGGTACAATGCCTTAACCAATTGAACAATACTCAGATTGCCTGGCCTAAGATGAATTCAAAAGAAAAACATGTTGGATTATACCATCTTATTTGTCCATCTATTTTTGTCTCCAACTTTCAAAAGGTCTATTTAGTCCCTCAACTCAAGAAAATACTCATTTTTGTGGTACTTATTATTAGTTCTGCTGTGAATTATTGGGCTAAGGGATGACTAGCTTTGAATATGCACACGAACGTGTTGACGTGGGCATCCTGAGATTGAGTGTTGATTGGGTTTCAAATATGACCCAGGTCGTTGCTCAAGATATCCTCGTGTTAATATGATAATATACATATTTAAAACCATATTATCCATTTGTCACAAATAATGGATGGTTATATAATATCAAACACAAAGCCATTACTTCATAGAGTTTTGGACCTTAACTAATCGTTTTGAAAGTTCAGAGGCAAAATCAAAATCAAATTAATTGGAAAGTTACCAAATGGTATCCAAAATTATTTTGAAAATGTATCAATGTATGAACATTTAGCAACTACCAACCTGAATATTGTTCAATTGGTTAAGACATATACCTTCGATCAGAGATTTAAGGTTTGAATTTGTCATCCTCACATATGTTTTTGAACTAAAAAAACATAAGGCATATAATCTCTTCTTTGGTCTATTTATTGCCCATGCTAGCCAGATTTTTCTCCATTGGGGCTTGTTTTTTTTTAGGTAATATGTGTATCCCTTTCTTCCTGTCCTTTTCTGGTTGGCCTTTTGTTTGATCCGCCTGCTGTGTAATTTTTCTTTTGTTGGGAAAATTGTAACAGAACTAATCGTAAGCAAATGCTTGTGAAATACGTTTATGTAAATTATATTTGAATTTTATGAGATAAGAATTGAAATATTCATTTTGAGCCAATCAATTATAATGCAAAAGCAATCAATATGAGAAGAAAAATCAGGAAAGAGTTAAATGGTTCAATAAGAACTGTCCCTTCTGCAAATGGACACGATTCACTCTTGTTTCCTCTGATTTTGCAGAGGTATTCCAATCTATACCCGGTTAGCAAATCAATTTCAGCCACATGGAAGTTGAATAAGCCCTTCATTCTGTGAGTAACCTTACATTCTGTATTCATACTAGTCATTTAAAATGTATGCTAGGAATCGACGTTTTCGTTTAGTTTCAATATATCTAATCTTTAATATTCTTAAGACAGCTCGTTGGACAAATACGCTTCTTGTTTGTATACACCACGTCAGGATATGCTTGTAAGTACAGTTGATTCTAGTTCTCATATATAACACAATCACAAATCTTGGGAAATTTTCTGTACTTGTTGTTGGCTTGTGGACTTAGTGAGGTTTATTTAATACAATTGCTTTTTAAATGGATACTGTTGATTTAATCTGTTTAACAACAAAGGGGCCTGGCTCTATTTGCCTTTTGTGAATTCAAAAGCAATAAGGTTATCTGGATGGAGCAACAGCCCTTTGTTAAACACCCTTTTAACTGTTTTCGTCATTAAACCAATTGACCTGGGTGTTAACTGCAGCCCCACCGCCATTGGGAATGCTCTCCAGGACATTCTCGTGGCCTTTGGGATAATAAATTCCAGTTCGCCCATCAAGCACCCATGGAGTTTCCTCACCCCTCACAGGGCTCTTGTTGCTCTTCAGTTCCTTGCTTTCTGTTTCAACTCTCTCCCTCATCATATCTGGAGAAGAGCTTTTTCTGTGGAAGCCCTTCCGCCCGATCGGCCTGCGCTAAAGAATTCAACCGAATCAGATAAACAAGGTACTGTGTTGTATCGATATTCCGTATGTGGCCGTTATACATCTCCCCTCCCCGACTTAATCGACTGAACGTGACAAAATCAACCATCAAATTGATCATACTTGAACAGAACTAACCGACTATTATTCGATTTTATACGACCAACAGTCATGCTTTAAATGGGCCTAGTTTTTGGCTTCGTTTTGCAGCATTCTAATCTTAGATCAAGGAAATTAGTTGATGGCTGAGTTGAAGAAGGAACTTACTTGAAGAACATGGAGTTCATTGACTGAGCCCCTCTCACAAATGCAGTGGCCATGCCTTCCTCCCAATGAGGTAAGTGAAGATGGGATGAACAAATGGGAATTTGGTTGTTTTGTATATATAGGTGAAAAGTGAGGCTATCCATTTCCTCCATCCCTATGAAGATTCTGAAGAATGGGATGAATTTGTCCTTTTATTTACTCCTTTTGTGCTGCCCACTCCTTGGAGTTGGTTTGTGAAAATGAACCTTCAAAATTCCTCTTCCCATACTCCATAAGCTACAGAATGTTATTGGGCCTAATGGGCTTTGCTTTCACTGAGCCTTGACTTACCTAATGGGCCTAATAGGCCTAATGGGCTTGCTTTGCCGTCTCTTGATCTGTACCTCCTGGCCCATAATGAAACCATTGATTTCAGGAGCTTTTTTAGGGTTTGAGAAAGGGAATTTTAGTCCACTTGTTTCGATTGGGACATCTAATTTATTCTGGCCATTTTTGTCATCCCAACTTTTTGGTCGATATCATTTCATCTAAAATTAGGTGGCGATGCCTTCCATGGATTCATTTATAAAAAATTAAAAATTTAATTAATATAATTATCTGGCCACACAGTGAATGGTGTTCATCAAGATCATCCTTTTAATTTTAATTGATTCAATTTACAAAATTTAGATTATTTTTTTTATTAGTTATTGTTTATTAATAGCATCAAATACATTAATTTCCCCCCAAAAAGCATCAAGTTACCTAAAACAAAACACTACAATCTTCCATTATAAGAAAGCATCCTTGATGAAAATATGATTTAAAATTATTTTTATGCTATTTAATAATGATTAATTCTATTGCATAATTAAGCAAATCAATAAACGTTTATAATAAGTAACATTATGTACTTTCTAAACTTTATTTATTTTGGCGGTATAGTTCCTATATTTTAAAATTATACTAATTTATCTTTTGAACTTTATTTTATTATAATAATCTAGTTTCTATGTTTTAAAATTTGTAATAATTTTCCTTTTAACACTAAAATTTTAATCAAACCAATATGTTATTTTAGTAAATTATAAACCCCTTCAATCTCGCATTATTATAATTACAAAATTTTAATTATAAAAATTAAGATGATGCAAACTAAAATTTATATGCTAACTCGATGTTCACGTGTATTTCCAATTAATATTTAAATTTATTATCGAGTTTTTGTATTCATAAAAGAGTAATTGTGGCTAGCTTTGGTATGTAAAACAATGTAAAGGAAAGATTCCTCCTAACGAGGGCTCTCCCCAAAATTCTCATATTGAACCATTTTGGTGCTACCAATAACGTCTCTTTCACTTTCCTTTTCTATAAAATAAAATATAAAAAATAATGTAATTAATGAACGAATAGAAATTATATGTTTATGATATTTAAAATAACATTTTCTTGCAGTAAATTAATATATATTGAATATTAATCTCTAGCCACACACGATTTTATAAAATATTAAACCTAAATCCTTTAAAAAAAAACTTTTAAAAAAAATCTCAATAATATCTCGAAAAAAAAAATTGAAACGATTTTGCTCGTTCATGATCCTTCTTGGGCCACGAAACAGGGATGACTTTTTTTTGCCCTTTATGAGACGGATGAATGACATTTATTACGTCATTAAAAGTTTTGTTTTTTCTCAATAATATCTTCTTTGTCAAAAAATGTTTAATCAAAATAATAAAATTTTGACAGGGACAATTTTATCGTTCTGATTTCAAGGAAAAAAAAAAAAAAAGTCAATTACTAGGAAATTAAGTATTAGGAATGAATTTGATCGATGGTCCCTCTTAATTTTTTGCGTTAGTATTTCAATTAATTAATAAAATAAAAATGAAATATTTTGAAATTTAGAGTAGAAATAGACGCAACTTAAGAACGCAATTTTATGTAATGGACTATACTCACTTCTATCTTATTCAATGCTTTTATTGCTTTTAATTTAATTTTTCTAATTTTTCGAACTTGTTTTTTCCGCTCTAATCAATTGATGTGAGACATGACAAAGACTAATATCGTCTATGAATTTTTTTTAATTAATTCCTTGGTTAATTTATTTATGAATTTTTAAAAATTTAGAAGGGATGAAATACATTTGTAATTTTGATTAAATTGTATTTTTTTTTATTAAAAAAATTAAAATTAAAACCTATGGCTATATTCTTAAAAAAGATGTCGACGTAACTTATTTGAATTAAATTTAAAAAGAATGGAAATGAATGGTCATTGTGCGAGGAAATTGAAAATTAATGAAAAAGACCATTGGATATAATATAAATAAATGAGGCCGCATCGTGATACACGTCGATTGGAAGCCCAGTAGTTCCAGAGGCAAGTGCCGGGAGGAGGAGGAGGACGGAAGGAGAATCCGCCTCCGCCTCAGCCGCCGCCATCGTCGAGATCGAGGTCGGTTTGTGATGGCCGGCCAGTCGCGGAAGTGGCTGGTTCTGGTGGCGACGATATGGATTCAAGCATTCACCGGCACGAACTTCGATTTCTCGGCCTATTCTTCGAGATTGAAATCGGTATTAGGCATTTCTCAGGTTCAACTTAATTACCTCGCCACCGCCTCCGATATAGGCAAGGTTTTCGGCTGGTCCTCTGGATTAGCTCTGCTTCACCTACCGTTGCCGGTGGTTCTGTTCATCGCCGCTTTCTTAGGACTAATCGGTTACGGCTTCCAATGGCTCCTAATCGCCGATTTCATCTCCTTGCCCTATTTCCTGGTACTCTCTCTCTCTCCCTCTCTAGAAATCTTTGTTTCTTTCAACTGCTTCTCTGTTTCCTTATCGATACTTCAAAATATTGGATGAAATTTCTGTTCGTTTCTCCCAAAACAAAACCGGATTCCGTTCATCGATTGGGGATGGATTATGAATATTATTATTTTTTAAGTTTAGTAGAGATATGAACTATGAACTATGAACATGGTTCCTGATTCGTTTCTCCCAAGATTTTCTTGGGATTATAAAAACTGCCATCGTTCTTGAAAAATTCTACAACTTATTCGGATTGTTTTCCTGTTGGGAAATTATTTAGTAGTTCAGTATTTTTAAATCGTTTCTGTTTTTTCAAATCATGTTTTCTATGGAATTGAATCTGGAAAATATATATATATATATAAACAAAAAACAGCGAGATCGAGAATTATTTATATATATTTGGAAGCGAACAGAATATTATTATTTCTCACCTAATTTTGGAATTAATACATTATATTTAAATATATTGACAAAAATACATTACGTTAAAAATAATAAAACCAAGCATTTTCTTTGAAGAGACAAAAATATAACATTATCAATGCAATTTTTTTGGAAAGATTTAAGAAGTATTTTGAGAACCTCATTTTTTTTTCTTTCTAATTTATAAGAAAATTTAATTTGGTTGCAGTTTTTTTATGGTATTTTTAAAGACATCAACACATGACGCCCATGTGGTTCTCTGTTTTGGGTGTAAAAAATCCAAAACAATATTATTATAATTTTAATCACATCTTTTATTCATCAAATAATTTTTATTTAATACAAGTAATAATTTTCAATTCAAATTACCACAGAAAAAATAACTAAGGTATACATATGATAAAATAATTACCACATTTTTAAAATTAATCAAATATATCATAGTTTTTTTGGGTATATATTTTCATTTTTTTTTAGAAACCATAGGTTAAAGAGTTTATCAATCACGGGCGAATTTCAGAAAAAAATTAAAAAATAGAAGAATAATGACATGGTAAGATTCTTTGTATGATTTATTAGTTCAGACTGTTGTTCTCACATGCATAATTTCAGAAATATTCCAATATTCCAATATTCCTAGGACACATGAAAGTATCATATTATTGTGTATTCTTTTTCTATTATTATTTCAAGCATAAAGTTTTTATTTTATTTTGTTATTTATTTAAATATTTTATTTTAACGAATTTTAATTATGGGCAGGTGTTCTTCCTGTGTTTGCTTGCGGGTTGCAGCATCTGTTGGTTCAACACTGTCTGTTTCGTCCTTTGCATTCGGAACTTCTCTGCTAATCGGCCTTTGGCATTATCTCTCACCGTCAGCTTCAATGGCGTCAGTGCAGCTTTCTACACGCTCGCCGGCAACGCCATTAATCCCTCTTCGCCTCCCATTTACCTCCTTCTCAACGCCCTCATTCCCCTTCTCACTTCCATTGCCGCTTTCCTCCCCGTCCTCCATCAACCGCCGCTGCAATCGCTTTCTCTCTCCTCTGACGCTGTTCAGCGAGACTCTCTCATTTTTCTCATCTTGAATTTCCTTGCCGTCGCCGTTGGAATCTACCTTCTCCTCTTCGGCTCTGTCACTTCCGCCGATCCGATGATGGCGAGGCTTCTCTTCATCGGAGCCATCGTCCTTCTCGTGTTGCCTCTCTGTATTCCCGGCGTTGTTTACGCTAACGATTGGTTCCACCGGACCGTTAACTCGAGCTTCAGCCTCGACGGATCTAGCTTCATTCTTGTCCACGACGAAGATCTTGAGTTTCATAAGGAGCTGCTTAGTCGTGAAGCAAATGGAAGCTTTGGCAATGGCGGATCTCAGTTATTGTCTGAATCTGCTTCGCTTATTGACGGTGAGATTGAATCGAAAAGCTGTTTTCCGAAATTGATTGAAAAGGATCAATTGGCGATGCTTGGTGAAGAGCATCCGTCGAGCCGATTGGTGAAACGACTGGATTTTTGGCTGTATTTCACCGCTTACATCTGCGGTGGCACAATTGGACTTGTTTACAGTAACAATATAGGACAGATTGCGCAATCGCTAGGGTTGAGTTCAAGAACCAACGCCATCGTAACACTCTACTCCTCCTTCTCCTTCTTCGGCCGATTGCTCTCGGCCGTACCGGACTACATTCGAGCGTAATTTATAATCGATTCTATTCAATTTCTCCACTGTTTCCTCTGCTTTCCCGAACACTCACACCGCCAATTTTATTTTCTCCGCAGGAAATTATATTTTGCAAGAACAGGATGGCTTTCGATCGCTCTAATTCCAACTCCTATTGCTTTCTTTCTGCTATCGGCGTCGTCGAGCATGGTGACGGTGTACATAGGCACGGCACTGATCGGTCTGAGCTCCGGCTTCATATTCGCGGCGGCAGTTTCCATTACGGCGGAGCTGTTCGGGCCAAATAGCTTAGGCGTTAACCACAACATTCTGATCACAAACATTCCAATCGGATCTCTTCTGTACGGCATGTTTGCAGCGGTGGTATACGATTCGCAGGGAAGGAACTCCGGGCATGGTGAGGCGGTTGTGTGCATGGGAAGAAGGTGCTATTTCTTGACTTTTGTATTTTGTGGATGCATTTCTGTTGTAGGCTTGGTTTCTAGCGTGTTACTGTTCTTGAGAACCAGACACGCTTATGATCACTTCGAAAGTAGTAGGATTTCCAGTAGTTCAAGTAGATTGTATTAATTTATCTCACTGTTATCATTATTCATTCCATACCTGATTTTAGTTCCTTTTTTTTTTTCTTCCTTTTTTCACAATGCATCATTTCATTTCAATTGTGGGGGAGATTACATTTTTTTCCATTCTTTTTGTTCTCAGTATAGTTCTAGTTTTGATTTGAACTTTCAAACCAAAGACTTAAGTTGGATTTAAAAATATCACCGTTACTATGAGAAACCAATTTCAAACTTCAACATCCAAATTGAAATCAATAACAAAATTTAGAGATCAAACATGTTAGAATCAAAACTAAGCTTACTATTCATTGAAGGATTATGATTAGGTAGCTTTGGTTAGCAGTGGTCGTGCAAAATCCTTGTAAAAAACAGACACCTAAAGCCATTTTCATCAACCTTTGGATTGTTCTTCAGTTCAATTCTTCTAACATTTATACTCTGATAGAGATGAGACCAATCCCATCAAAGGGAAGGAATTCTTCATTTACATATTGTAGTGTAGCAAAGCAGTCGAGATTTACATATATATATTCACATAGTAGAAACTCTGCAGTTGTTTGCCTAAATATATATATACACACATACATATCATCCATGGCTCACGGCAGCCTGAGATCTAGAGAGATTTCCTCGTCCTGTCTCAGTTTTGGCCTTAGCAGATACGCCATTTCTGGCATGTTTGGGTGATGCAGAGGCAGACCAGTGGCCGGATGTAACAGCCATGTCCTTGAACTGAAGAAGGCCTTCAAGAGCTTCAACAATGGCTGGCATTCTAGGCCTGTCTTTAGGGTTCAAGCTTGTGGATTGGAGGGCTAGACTGGCCATTCCCTTTGCCCCTTTCACAGAATACTGCCCACAAAGCCTTGGGTCCATTATGAAGTGCAACCTGCGAGAGCTACTGAGATATGGCTTTGCCCAATCCACAAGGTTTTGGTCATTCTTTGCTCTTGATTTGTCCATTGCTCTTCTTCCTGTAAGAAGTTCCAAAAGTACCACTCCGAAACTGTACACGTCGCTTTTAGTTGTCAAGTGCCCTAAGATGAACATCAGACCGCAACCCGCATTAGTGTTTAGACAAGACTACATTTGAGAATGGATATTGGACCCTAGGATTATTGCAACAATGACTATATTTCTTGGAGGCCTTCAACATGATAGTCAGGTATGTACATGTCTTCAACATGATAGTCATTCAACCTAAAAGCTTAAGGTGTACCAAACTCAAACACCACTTCTTGCATAGAAGACAAAAAGGGTTTTAAGTCATTAAAACGTTACCTCGTGTCCAAAGACCAAGAATGGATTTGTGAGATCCTACTTTGGTTGGAGAAGGAAACAAAACATTTCTTATAAGGGTGTAGAAACCTCTCCACAGTAGACTCGTTTTAAAAACGTGAGGCTGACGGTAATAGACAATTTCTGCTTGCGTTGAGTTTAGGCTGTTACAAATGGTGTGCTAGTGAGAACGCTGGGCTTTCAAGGGGGGTGAACTATGAGATCCCACATCGAATGGAGAGAGGGCAATGAAGCATTCCTTATAAAAGTGTGGAAACCTCTCCCTAGTAAACGCATTTTAGAACTGTGAGATTGACGGCGATACGTAACGGACTAAAATGGACAATATCTTCTAGCGATGGGTTAGAGCTGTTACAGGATTCTACAACCGAACATCTAAAAACCCCTTTAACACGAGGGCACTACTCGTAGGAGCTAGAGTAAAACATATTAATCTTTCTAGTCCATTCTAGTCCATTAATTCTATTCCACAAGGCCAAAACGGCGAGGAATGAATGTGATCAAATGATTTGATGTTCGAGATTGTCTACTCTAATACTATGTTATCAGATTCTTAGTGACCCAAATAATTTAGAATGTTGAGCCAGAATTAAAGGACAATTCTGAACCAGCTCTGTGATGCAACTTCATGAAGAGTTCACAATTGAAAACCAGAGATGAAAATGACAGAAAACTTGCCTGTGGAGATGTATTCAGGGGCTGCATAGCCATATGTACCCATCACTCTGGTAGTAACATGGGTGTCTGATCCCTCAGGCCCCATCTTTGCCAGTCCGAAATCCGACAACTTTGCTGTAAAATCCTAAGAAACCCCCCAAGATTTTGCTATATCAATTCGTATTCTTCTTAAAGGACACTGCAAGAAGAAGGTAACATCATAAACAAGAGTAGTTCAGAACACAAACCGAGTCTAACAGGACATTAGAAGTTTTGAAGTCTCTGTAAATGACAGGCTTCTCTGCCCCATGAAGGAAGTCGAGGCCCTTCGCTGCTCCGACGGCGATTTTGAGCCTCGTCGTCCATGGCAACGAGATAGAAAGCCCTGCAAGTGCTCAGTAATGAGGAAAAAAACTCGGAATTCTAAACTGGTTTAGAGTTATGAAGAAAAGCTGACTTTTGAATAAGTGGTTTTCCAAGCTGCCTCTGGGCAAGAACTCATAAACAAGAAGCCTCTCTTCTTCCTCACAGCAATAGCCTATCAATTTTACCAGATTTGGATGCCTCAGCTGCCCAAGAAACACTACTTCAGCCTGCCAAACACACACAGAAATTTTGTTATTAAAATATTTGATATTGAAATGACTTGGAATAGGGGCAATGTTATCTTACAAGCCATTCTCGGTGGCCCTGCAAGCCTTGGTTATCGAGAAGCTTCACAGCGACGGCCTGAGCCCTAAGCCCAGTCCGAAAGTTCTCATCGACATAGCCCTTATGAACTCGGCCGAATCCCCCTTCTCCCAACAAGAAATTACTGGAGAAATTCTGAGTAATGGCACGTAACTCACTCAACTGAAAGTCAAACAAATCAGCCCCAAACGACGCCGCTAGATCCTCGTTCAATCGAATCGAAGAGGACCGGCTGAGATCGGAAAAGGAGAGCCGCCGGAACGACGGCAAAGGAGCGATGTTCTTGGAGAAATCAGAGCGGTTGGGGCGGCAGCGGCTGAAGTTGCCGAAGGCGGTCTGGTCGTCGGCGGAGCAGCAATTGGCGGCGAAAGGGCGCCATGGCTTGGATTCCTTCATTATTGTGGAAGAGAAGGATTTGGGGATTGGAAATGGAAGGTGAAGGAGGAGGTTTCTTATGGGAAATGGGTTGGGAAGGAGGCATTGGAAATGGTACCTTTCTTCAACTGCTCTCTAACCACTCTACTAATGCTCTGAGTATTTTTGTTGATGATTCTCTTTCTTCCTCCTCTTCTTCTTCTGATTCTTCCATTCCATTTTCTCTCTTTGGTTGGTTGAATCTTTGTCTCTTATGCGATTGTCTTCGTACTGAACTTATGAGTTTGTGTTTTTTTTTTTTTAAATATTTTTAAATTAGACCCCTACCTTTTTCGACGGCGGAAAATACATTTTTTTTTATCAATTATATATATATTATATATCTACCCACACACATATATGTATATGCAAATTTCTGATAAAAAAATATTTACATGAATTTTCATCTCTTATTTCTTCTGGTTGGGTTATGTATAAAATTAGATTCGAATATTTATTTTAATACATAGATCTAATGAAGTTAGTATAAATATACATTAAATTTTATAAATTTGAATTTGAATTTGAATGGCTTAAGTCGAAAATTTGAATGGCTTAAGTCTATACTCTTTCGAGTGAGTAATCATAGTTTAAAATAAACAAAATTTTATATCAAATAAAAGTTACGTTTTAATCCGTATTATAAAACTATGTTTTTAAACGAAAATTATACAACGGTGTTTAATATTAAGGTTGAATTTAATTTATTGTAAAAATTGATATAAGCTTAAATAAATTTTCTTCAAATTTGTTTTAATATTTTAAATATTGTTTTACAATTACAATAATACCCTCGATACACTATTTAACTAAAACACAAACTTGCAAGCTTCCCAAAGAAGCCGAAGGATCCAAAATATCCCCACACCCAACCGAATGTTTACATCCCAAAGGAGAAATCGGGAAATTCAATACAATTTGTGTGACCGACACGGTGACGAATGACGGGTGCAGGACTTTTGTGATTGGTTGAGAATAGGGGAAAAGGAGGAGCAGTTGAATGCTGTGATGTAAGGGACGATGACAGCCCTGTGGCCGTATCCTTGTTTCTTCTGCTCCACCTCAACTCCAAGGACATGCACTTTTGTACGTCATACCAGTTTTTAGTCTCTCAACAACTATAGCTTTCAACGAATCAGACTCCTACACGTGTTGCACCATTTGTTTTTTTCCCTTATGACGTGGATAAGATTTTTCTTCCCCAACATTTCAAATATTGTGGATAAAACTTCTCTTATAAATATTTTAAGTTTTATTTTAATTTTTTAATTAGATTAAATTAATTTTAATCACTAAACTCTCTCTTTATGAAAATATATGTATATATTATCTCTAATAGTTAAAAAATGTTCTAAATAATATATCTAATAATTTTTTAAATTTGTATAATTCTATTAGATTAAAAAATAAAATTTATATTTAAATAGATCCGTTAATTTATAAAACATTATTAGTTAAAATAAAAAAAATTACAAAAAATCTTTAAATTTAATTTAATTTTTATTTTTAAAAATTATATCTTGAAGGGGAATAAAGGGACAAAGGATTAGCTCAAAGAGAGGATTTTTAATTGTGTTTGGTACGATGGTCAAAACTAATACTTTTGACCAAAAAAAAAAAGTATAGTTTATAATATCTATATCGCATTTTAGTATATGATGTTAGTTAGTATATGAAAATAATTTAATAATAACAATATGCAAATAATTATAATAATGACAACAACAAAAATTCAGTCGGTATTATTATTATTATTATTATTATTATATTTCTAAATTGTCATTGGGAGTAAACAATGGCTCCGGCCCGGTCCGGTCCGGTTCAGGATAATGGAACAGCGCGTTCCAAAGTGACAAGAGTGGGCTCCACTTGTTGTAAGGCGTGACTTTGTGACAAATGAATTAGCCGTTAGAAACCCCATTTTGCCGACTTTTTCGCCAATAGCCATCCACCTATGGCGGGCTTCATTCGGCTGCTTCTTCCCTAACACGACTCCATCTTTTTTTGTTTTTGTTCCTTCTCCTCTCTCTCCATCAATGGCGGATTTCTCCTTTCTTTCCGACACCGACGATTCGGCCGTCGAAGATCTGCTTTCCCAAACGCAGGATCTCTGTGTTCTCGAACAACTCTCTGCCATCAACTGCTCTGGCTTCACCGACTCTGTTCTTCCCACTGAACTTGAATCTCGATTTCGGAAGCTCAAATCCTTTCCTGCTGCCAAATCCGAGAACAGATCCGGTTTCGATTTGAAGAACAGTCGATCTGTGCACTCCTGCGATGAGAAACCGGACGATGATTTTGCAGTTTTTTCTCCTTCTAAACAGAGTCACAAGAAGGAATTAGGGTTTAGCCCTAAATCTCATTCGCAGCATCTGCCGGATTCCTCATCGGGAAAAGGAAATTCAACGCCACCGATGGACAATCAAAAGCCGAAAAATGGAAGTTCCAGAGCGAAATCGAAATGTAGGTACGTTTCATCTCCTTCGTATTCTTCGTCTTCATCTGGTGAAATCGATGAATTTTTAGAACCGAAGAAAGGTACCAAAATCCGCTCAAAAACCAGCTCAGAATCGGGATCCTTCGCTTCTCCGCCACAATCTCCGCCGAGAAGAGCCGGTTGTTTTTGGTGTTCACCGAAGAAAGCTTCAGAGAAGAAGAACAGCAACAACAGAACTCTCGATAACGGCCTTGGATGGGGTAAGAACAATGATTTCCTGTCAGATTTGAACATTTTTTCGGCAAAAGAGCAACATAAAATCCTGAAAAAGGCAATGAAAGAGGAAGAGAAGATCAATCGGGAGGCTGAGAAAATTGTGAAATGGGCAAAACAAACTTCGGCTAGGATGAATGTTTCAGACATTGAAGACGAGCTCAGCGATCCAGAAATCAAAAAATGAGTACGCAATTTTGATGCTGTTTATGGTTAATCTTGTTCTTGCATATAATCAACTATATACACAAGCATAATCCCTTGAAGTTTCTTTATATATATATAGAAATATGGTATGAAATTTATATTTGGGTTAGTACTTTGAATCAAGGGAATTTGGTGAAGAAAATATAGATTTATCATTTATGTTTATATGTTTATAATCTTCTCTAACAACATTAGTAATTCTCTTGTTTTAAATTATGTTGTTTTTTCTTAATTTTGTTCTAATCTTTCTCCTTCATCACGCTAAATACTCTTTGCAAGAAAGGGCTAATTGTATTGTATAGTTCAATGACGTTTACTGTTAAAAGTTTCCATTTTACATGAACTTCAATTTCTCCTTCAATGGAGTAGACTTTGGCAAGTTATCTTTAAAATATTTTATAATATCTTTTTTTTGGTTCGGGTCAACCTGAAATTTTTTCCCATGAGCTCGAAATTCGAACGGAATACTTTCTGTTTCAGAAAACTAGCCCAACACAACCCGTATAATTTTGGGTTGGTTTGTTGGGTTCAATATACACCCCTGCTAAATATTGTTGTGCTGTTTTAAGTAATTGTCAGATTTTTGTTTTCATTCAAAATTATAATATACGTTTACTTTTCTGAGTAATATTATAATTTTTATTCGAATGTTAAATTGAAGACTATGTATTGAACTTCATTAATATTTTTTATAATTTATACTGAAAAATCATTAAATATTATGTGTTTTACTTAGTCTAGATTCATTCATTTTTACCTTGTTTTAGGTTCTAATACACCATTAACTAACGAAAAGTATGCAATTATGTTGAAATCGAGCTGAAATGAAAAGATTATGATATCTCAATCGATAAGGAAAGATAATATTATTTTCCTTTTTTAATTTTGCAAATAAAAAATTTGCTGATTTAACTAATTGAGGTACGACCAAGAGATATTAAAAAAAATTTAATAGTAAGTGGAAAAATAACCCATGATTTTCTCCTTGCAAATTTAATTTATTTCTATATATGGTTCATAATTTTTGGAGATCAACTTACCTTTTATATTTTCATTTTTCAAATTTTACTTAATCAGAATTTAATTTTATGAAACGTTCTAATAATTTTATAAAATAAAAAGGGAAAAATATCTCAATTATTAGCAGAATAATAATTTTCACTTTGGTCCTTATCCTTTCTAAAATTTATTTTTATTTGTTTAACCCATTTTTTTTAAAGTGCCATTTGGTAAAAAAACCGAACTTTTAAAAAAAAAAATTATGATAATATTTATATATTTTTTAATAATATATTATTTATTAATTATTATATTTTTTTAAAACGTAAGAAATTCAAATTCTTCCCAATCCAATTAGACTTAAGATGGTAATACTTAATGAAGAAATAAGAAGGGGGAAATTTTATATTAGGAAACATGACAATATCCACATCACATTATCCCATGCAAATTCTCACCTGTCAAAAATGCAAAAAAAATATAAATAAAAATAATTAATATATATATTTGTCTAGTAAAAAATCTTCATCCTCTGAAGCTTTCAAACCGGAATCCATGGCGGCCATTTCAATCTTCTTCTATTTCTTTCTTTTTTCCTTCTCCGTATCAGCCACCGGTCGCGGTGGTGGAAATGGCTTCACCACCTCTATAATCCACCGTGATTCCCTTCTCTCTCCTCTCCACAACCCATCTGTCTCCCACTACGAACGGCTTACCGGTGCCTTCAACCGCTCTTTCTCCCGTTCCACCACCCTCACCAATCGGGCCGCCACCGTCTCCACTGGCGGCGTTCATTCTCCGCTCATACCTGACAGCGGCGAGTTCTTAATTTCCCTCTCTATTGGAACCCCGCCGGTTGATTTCACCGCCATCGCCGACACTGGCAGTGACCTGACGTGGACACAATGTTTGCCATGTGTCAAATGCTTCAACCAATCAAATCCCATTTTTAATCCACATCGATCATCCTCTTATAGCAACGTGTCTTGCACGTCTGATACTTGCAACTCCATCGTCAGCCACCGTTGTGGTCCCGACCTCAAAACCTGCACCTATGGCTACAGCTACGGAGACCAATCCTTCACGCATGGTGACCTGGCATCTGAGAAAATTACCATTGGGTCCTTCAAACTCAACAAGGTAGTCATTGGATGCGGCCACGAAAATGGCGGCACTTTCCTCGGAGAGACCTCGGGGATCGTCGGACTCGGCGGCGGCCCTCTCTCTTTGGTTTCGCAACTGAACACAATTGCCGCCGTCAAACGGCGGTTCTCGTATTGCTTGCCGACGTTCTTCAGCGACGCGAATATCACAGGCAAAATAAGCTTCGGTGAAGAAGCTGCCGTGTCGGGGCGAAAAGTGGTTTCTACCCCTCTCGTGCAGAAACATCCTGATACATACTATTTCTTGACTCTTGAAGCGGTTTCGATTGCTAACAAGCGGTTTGAGGTTGCAAACAACATGTCGTCTGCAGTAGTAGAAGGGAATATCATTATTGATTCCGGTACGACATTGACACTTTTGCCCCCGAATTTATACGACGGCGTCGTTTCGACTTTGGCAAAAGTTGTTAAAGCGAAGCAGGTGAATGATCCAACTGGGATTTTGGAACTCTGTTATGGTGTGAGCAGCGTTGACGACTTGAATATTCCGATCATTACGGCACATTTTGTTGGTGGTGCCGCCGTAGAGTTGCAGTCGGAGAATACATTTGCTTTGGTAAATGAAGATGTGGCTTGTTTGACTTTGGCACCGGCGATGAAATTTGCCATTTTTGGGAACTTGGCGCAGGTTAACTTTTTAGTCGGATATGATCTGGACCGGAAGACGGTGTCGTTTAAACGTACTGTTTGTGGTTAGAGGATTGATGTCGTTTCACCGCCGCCTTTATTCAATTTGGGTTCATATCACCCTAACAATTCCAACCATACAGCTTAATACAAATAATAATAATATTTTCACAACCAAGTTGTATTTACGTTTAGAAGGTGAAGTTTGCAACTTGTTTGATATTTGATTTTTTAATATTTTAATTATTAGCATCACATGTATTGACTAGATGTGTCAATTCGAATTGGTCCAAAATTATATAATATATATATATATATATATAATTGAAATTTAATAAAAAAGAAAAAATTACTTATCCTCTACTCATATTTTGGAACGTGAATCTTATTTATTTAGTCAACATTGTAAAAAATATATATGAGGTAAAAATAAATAAAAAATAAAAAGTTAATCATAAATAGGAACACAATCTTAAAATTTTATAGTGATCCTAATTTAGTTTATATATTTTGAATAAATCTTAAATTTAATTTATATACTTTTTACAAACCTAAGTTTAGTTTTTATTTTATTTTATTAAAATTGATTAAATCATAATAATAATAATAATAATAATACTCATGAAAATATAAATATAATTTAAAAATCTATAAATCATGAAATATATGTATATATATTTATTTTAAAACGCCTAAATGATTTTATACAATTTAATTAACCATTAAGAAGATCCTTTTTAAATATATTTTAACCTATTATAGTTATTTTCACAATATTCGTAATAATTCTGAGATATAGACTTAATTATCTTGATTTATTTAAGTGAATTGACGAAAATATGATTCTGTTAAATGAGAATCGTGTAGTTAAGAAGAAGAAACATGAAGGGGTAGTTTTGTCTTTCTGGATTCAGTCAACTTGGGTTCGATATTCATTACGGTAAAATAAATCTGATAATTTTTGGTGCAGAATTTTCCGATCCTCTGCCTTGAACGAAGAAGATGACCCGAGGAAAACAAAAGATCGAAGCTCAGAGGCGAAATGCGGAGAAAAATCAGAAGCAGAAAGGCTCGCAGTTCGAGGCTAGAGCCGTTGCCCTTAAAGTCATCTGCCCTATTTGCAAGGTTCTTCTTCTCTTCAATCTTTGTTTCTATTATATTCTCGATTGGATTTGAGTGTTTGTTCTTTCTTTTTGATCTGGATCATAATCTTATTAATTTTGTGATGTCAAAGCAATAGAAAATTTCATTTCCAGTTATCATTTTTCCTTACTGTTTTCTAATCTATGTTATAATGCACTTGATATTGCTGTTGCGATGCTCTCAATTGATAAGAAATTCATTGGAGTTTGATTGATTTTGGTTTTATCTTTCCTTTTAAGTCAATGCTAGGATCCAAAAGTAGATCATTTTGGCGGATCATCTGTTATAGGGTTTGGCAGGACTGGTACCAGAACTATGAGTTTATTGACTGAAAAATGTTCAAGCCTTAATTCTATATGATAAAGAGGTTTTGAGTTCAGGCTACAAAATATAGGAGCCATCTACTTGAAACATTGAATAGAAACTATGATTCAATATTTTTTATGTGTAGCTCTGATATTGTCTTAAGAAGTTCTCTTGTTGCAAGAAATGCTGCCAGATTAGTTAAATTGTGATTGAGTTCATGATTATTGGGAAAACAAGAATTTGATACTCCATATCCAAATTCACAGCTCTATTTGTAGAACTTCTGAGGATAATTCTCTTTTTGTTTACTCTTTTGGATTCCTAATTTGTATGTTGAGTTTTTTCTTTCTTTTGGGATATAGACGATAACAACCTAAGAGCCTAAAAAGGGAGAGCCTTCCAATTGTTAATAATCATTAGAAGACTAACAAAGTTTTATCTTATCTTCAAAGATCATTGCCTTTAAAACACCAGCCCCTTGGAGCTTCTATCTGCCAATTATCACCACTTTTAGGCAGACAAAAGGATAACTCATTTAAGATGTACATCCAACCTCAATAGCAAGGTGGCAATAGGGGAAACAAATGATTCACATATTCACCATCTCTAAGACATAAAAAGCAAGCAACGCGGGATAAGACTCGATTTACATATTTATAGTTAGCAACCTGTCTTGGGTATTAAGACTTTCGTTTCTTCAGGTACTTGCCGTGCCAAACTTCGTAATGTCCAGTTTTCTACAAATTTTACGTTTAGGCTGTGGATTGATCTTTTGCCTTTGAAAAAGTGGAATGCCTAGTTTTTCATTCCTCCCCATGTGTTGTCTGATCTGTGTACACCATTCTCTTCATACACATACTTCTAACATACACATACTTCTAACAGCCTAAGCCACCGCTAGCAGATATTGTCATCTTTGGACTTTCCTTTTTGGACCTTCCACTCAAGGTCTTAAAACGCCTTTGTTAGGAAAAAGTTTTCACACTCTTAAAGGAATGTTTCGTTCTCCTCTCCAACCGATGTGAGATCTCACATCACTACTAGAATCCATGTCTATCAAACTTTTCTCAAGGTATTTTGTGAATAGTTTCTCTTGGCATGTGGGACGAAGTCATAGAGACTAAATATTGAATTAGACATAGAAGAGAATTATAAATTCCTCTATTTTAAAGTTTTCCATTATGATGCTCAGAAGGTTTTTTCGACTATGTATCTAATCATCTGTTTCTTACCATAGGTACAACTAGCAAATCATAACCAATTGGGTGATCACTATGCCTCCAAACATCCGAAGGAAAAGCCACCGTCAGAATCTGGCTGAATCGCCCCTTGCAAGTTGCAGTATGTGAGTAGCTTTATTGAAGGCATTTCAAAGTTCCCTTCTGTGCAGATCAATGAAAGTTGCTCTGATTGATTGTCTTCATCTTTCTTGTTCTTAAAATTGTACTCCTCCTTGTAAGGGTATAAAATGACGAGTCATTGTGGCACTTGTAAAATAAACAAGACTCTAATACGCTTGTTCCAGAGTCGTCCCAGTCTAGTTTACTCTGTGCCTATGAACTAGGGAATCCTATCCTAAGAAATGACATTTTCTTTATAAAAGGATACAATCTTGCAAATGCATAAGAAGGTTCTGTATTACATCTGTTTATTAGGATTGAGAACAGTACATCGGTAACTAAGAGATTATGAAAGAGAGATTTTGTAGGACTCAAAACCCACCGTCCCTAGATATTGTTTGGTTCATTATGTATCAATTTCACTGTTTTAAAACGTATTTGTTAGGGAGAGGTTTTCACACCCTGATAAGAAATACTCTGTTCCTGTCTTCAAGACTTCAACCGATATGAGATTTTACTGATTTAAAAGAGAACTTCATGTACCTCATAAATTTTTAGAAAATTAAATCAAGGTTCAAGTACCAGAATCTGGATCATTCTATTTATTTATTTATTTATTTTTATTTTTTATAGGAGTGAATCCATTTAGACAATTTATTAGTGATTTATAATTAATTTCACTCAATTAAAAAACACTTTAATAAATTATTATTCTTCCAAAAGTCTATTAATGACAAAAGACCAATTTCACATAGTTCTTTCTAAATAAGTTAGAAATAAAAATTAATCTTGATTTTTTTTAATAATATTATGTTAATAATGCAATTGAGGAAGTATTCTATTCGATAGTAATTAAAAAAAGATATAGGAGTTTAAATTGATTTAAATATTGAAAGTTAAGATTTAAATCGGTACAGTGTATAAATTGATTTTTTCTTCTTCTATATTATATAATATAATATTAAAACAACATGTTATTTTCTTTGGTTAGATTTCAAGTTTAGTTTATAAATAATTAAGTATGCCTCCAAAATTTTACAAAAGGTCAAATACAAATTAATTTTCTTTAAATATACGTTAATAAATTCCTAAAGTTTTAATTTTAGGCTGAATGCATTTCAGGTAAATTTTCGGATTTTAAAAATCTTATTTGAATTTTATATTTAGTAGGCTTTGTATTTTAGTAAGTTTTTAATGACTAATTAATAAAAAAAAATATTAACCGTAAATTAAAAATTTAAAGACGTATATATTTTAAAATTAAGATAAATACAAATCCAAGTATTACTATTTTTTTTTTTTAAAAAAAGATCCTCCGTTGTTTTAGTCCGTGAGCGTAATTGAGTTGGCCTTTTCAAAATTAGCTCCTTCTGCGTAGAATTACAAGCAGTCCAACCGAAATCTACTGGACCTTCTCTCCCTCGCTTTAATCTCTCTGCTCTTATATGCCTTTGAGTTCTATCCGATTCAAAGCAGGGTTTCTTTAATCCGCGCCAAATCTTGCCTCCAAGCATCCCCATCTGTTGCTTCTTCATTCAAGAGATAAGGATTTCGCATCAGTTATGATTATAATCTTTAAACCCTTTATGAACTTCATCGTAATCGTTCATAATCTTCGTGTTTTTGGTACTGGGTTGAATCCCTTTGCACCCTACTGCGTTGCTCATCATTCTCTTTGATTTTAGCTTTACCCCTAATACTCATTAAGCATTTTGATTTTACTTTGTTCTTCCTAAGGATCATGTAGTTCTTGTTTTTTTGGGTTCTGGGTTTTCTTGTTATTGATCATATTTCGATAAGAGTTGTTGTTGAATGGAGCTCTGTTTCTAGTTTGTGATTTACGAACTATTGTGAGTGAGTTGATTGAAGGGGGATTTAAGATCATGCCTCAAGAACAGAGAGGCCCGATGAGTCGAAGCCTTTCGAGAAGGCGTTCCTTCCGAAATGAAGTATTGAATAGGGATGATAGGGGGTGGACTTCACTCCACATTGGTGCGCGAAAGGGTGACCTTAAAGAGGTGGGTTTCGTTTTCTCCTCTGCTATTTTCTTTAGTTGAAGTGATGGGTGTTGTTTTTGTTCATTGATTCTTGAATTTTGTTTTGCAAATCTTGATCAGGTGAAGCGTCTGCTGAATGAAGGAATGGATGTGAATGCAGAAGCATGGGGCCCCAAATCGAAGGGGTTGACACCCCTTCACCTTGCTGCGGAGGGTGGGCATCTTGATTTAATGGATGAATTGCTTGAACGTGGTGCCAACATTGATGCTAGAACCAAAGGTGCTTGTGGCTGTAAGTATCCTTATCTCTCACGGGTTCATTCAATATAAAGCTAGAATTGATTAGCTGAATTTATCTGGTATTTTATTGTTATTGATGAATCAAGTATTTGGAGTTTTAGAAAAGCTCTTGGGAAGTGATATCATTCAATTCAATCATAAACAGTTTTGCTAACTTGTACCGTTAAATATGAAATGAATAAGCTATGCCCAATAAAATAGAATCTGAAGAACAAAGAATTAACATTTGCTAAAATTCATTGACAAAACTAACTAAAGAAGGGAGAAGGAAAGAAAAACTAGATTTAAGAGTATGGCTGATTCGTGATAGAGATTTTCTTTTTCTCCATGGGGCATGCTCTGAACTGGATGAGAATCCTTGATTAAGTAGGGAGTAGGTTGTGGGAAGGGAAATGAATGTCCACCCTCAAGCTTTTTAAAACGCCTCTGCTAGGGAGAGGTTTCCACGCCCTTATAAACAAAGTTTCGTTCGGCTCCCCAACTAACGTGGGATCTCACAATCCACCCTCCTTCGGGGCTCAACGTCCTTGCTGGCACTCTTCCCCCTCCAATCAATGTGGGACCCCCCAATTCACCCCCTTCAGGGCCTAGCATCCTTGCTGGCGCACCGCCTCGTATCCAGCCCCCTTTGGGGCTCAGCCTCATCGCTGGCACATTACTTGGTGTTTGACTTTGATACCATTTGTAACAGCCAAGTCCACCGCTACCAGATATTGTCTTTTATAGGCTTTCTCTCAAGGTTTTTAAAACGTATATGCTAGGGAGAGGTTTTCACACTCTTATAAAAAATGGTTTGTTCTTCTCTCCAACTGATATGGGAGCTCACATGTTATATCCGGTAAATATTGTGTTGATGCTATGCTGCTGGGTTCACTACACGTAACACTTTTGAGGAGCAAGCAGATACGCACCGTGTAGGCATAGACTGTAGGCATGCGGTGGTGCTTGGGCTTGTAAAGCTCTTATATTTCCTTAAACAAATGTGGATAAACAACCAAATTTTCTTGTTCTGAAAGTAGTTAAAGATATTGGCATTAGGATGGGTAAGAATATAGATAAAACGTTGAAGCCTTGTTGTAATAAAGATCCTAAACATTGATTATGTTGACAATGAACCCCAGGGACACCTCTGCACAGTGCAGCCAAAGAGAGAAGGAAGGAAGCTGTGAAGTTCCTCGTGGAGAATGGAGCTTTCTTGCCTGATGACATAAATGACTGCAGATTTAATCCTCCACTGCACTACTGTCCCGGCCTCGAGTGGGCGTACGAGGAGGTCAAGCGTCTTCAACATTACAATGGTTCGTCTAGTGAGACATCTTGCAGCTCTGAGAGCTGAAAAAACCCCATTCCCCCCACCCCCTGGTGGTGGTGTTGTTGAGTTTGATTCTTCTCTTATCAAGGCATCTATCTATCTTAATCTTGCTGTGTCGGATCAGATATGGTTTCTTCTTTTGTGGTTGTCAAACCATAAAATTGTGTTATGTGTTTGTATTCCTTTGCCCGCCGTTGTTCGATTGACCTACTCGTTTTTGGACAGAATTTATGCTACTTGGGACTGAGACTGTAAATGTAACGACCCATGTCTAAGATTTGGATTGGAAAATTTTTCGAGAGGTTACCCAACTTAGCATTGTTTCAAGCAAAACATGCTTAATTATGAAATTTCTATGATTCAATTGTCTAAAAAAAAAGTACTTCTTGTTGATATAAATAGTAAATAAACTTTTTTAATCATTCTATCATTGAGATTTCTCTGGTTTGAATGTAGTATGAACTTATTATTCATATATCTCTTATTTACTCGGGTGTCACAATAAAAATTAAGATAATAGATGATATAAAAGTTTAGAGATTGAGAATTTAAATGAGTTTCCAAACAAAAAAACAAAAAACAAAATTTTTACCAACTTTTTTCTTTTTCCCCTTTTTTTTTTTATTATATTTTCTTTTTTTTTTATTACATTTTTAGGCAAGATTATATTACTCCTTGAATATCTTAAACAGTCTGTAAAAAATAAAAAAAAAAACTCAAAAATCACAAAAACTATTGAATAGTGAAATATATTATTTAATGACGTGTCAAATATTGAATGAAATGAGTACATATATTATAGGCGTACTAAATTTTTTTCATCTCATGCAAGGACGTCCTTGAGGTAATACCTTTAATTATTATGTGACCAATTACTTATTATTGTATTGGTAAGCTATTCTCGAGATGTGTATATATATATATATATATAAAAGCTTGCTGATATGGTAGAATAATGGGAAAAAGAGGAACACAACGGGTATTTGTAGGGATAAAGGTTATTGCATTATGGAGGGGAGACACTATTGTTAATTGCTTTTCTAATTTTGTTTTAAACTAATCAAATTCTTATTAAACACAAACACTTAGTGTTCATCATTTTTAGTACTATCTTTTAATTAAATTAAAAAGGGTGCTGGAACTATGATGTTTCGTTAGGTGAAACATTATTTTTAGCTTAAACTAATGCCTATTTTGTATATATTTAAGTGTTTTTAGATGCTCGTATCACACATTAGCATGGAATAATATAATTTAATGCGACTTATAAGTAGAGTCGTCTAATAGATATTATCAACAATATAGATATGGTCTAATAGATATTAGTAGGTTTGTTCTACTGAAGAAAAAAAAAACGACTCACACAGCACCCGTTAAAGAGAGGAAATAGACACATTTTGAAATTATGAGGCTACCGATGACGGCGATATGTAACGGGCCAAAATAAACCATATAAATTTTCAATTATGAATAGCAGCACAGACAAGAAGAAAGAGCATAGATTATTGTCCAAAATGGAATGAAATAGGGCCATTTGTTTGTGTGTTTGGAGACAAGCTTCATTTATTCAAGCAAACTTACACATTTGGAATCTTAATCATTTTTCTCCTTAACCAATAATTTATAATCATCCACTTCAAAAACCCATTTAAATTATTAATTGTGGTTTTATATTTT